AGTAGCCTGACAGCTACTGACCGTCGACAGCCGCGGCTCTAGCCCGGCAGCTGCCCGCCACCAACGGCCACAGCTCTAGCCTGCCCGCCGCCGATGGCCACGGCTCTAGCCAGGCAGCTGCCCGTCGACGGCCGCGGCTCTAGCCTTCAGCTGCCTGTCAACGGCTACGGCTCTAGCCCGGCAGCTGCCCGTCGACGGCCACGGCTCTAACCCGCCTGATTTGACAATAATGTTATCGCCTGACGGCCCAGACACAAGCATGGGGATCAGTGTCAGCACTCATTAGTGAGTAAGTTAGATGAAATGCCTGCTTCACCACCCGCTACCGAAATGTCTTTGCTGGCATCACCCTGCAATACCACTCAGTCCAGACGTAAGAGCTGACTTGTTTTTTATGAAACTGGTTACTTGTGTGGTGGACAGGTTGCTGGTGGTAGACTGGCTTCTGGTGGCGGACTGGGGCACTGGGGGTGCATTGGTTTTCTGGTGGCGGACTGTTCCTGGTGGTGGACACTTTTCGTGGCCGCCTGACGAATTGTGTACCATATTAAGGTATTTCCATGTACTGCTCCAAATAAAGGCCGAGGCTAAACCGAGCGTGGAATGTGCCCACAGTCACGGAATATTTCACAGCCAATTAGATGACCAATGCCATTAATTGAGCTTCCACCTCACAGGATTAAACTAATTGAACAAGTCCTTGACCGTTCACCTCATGGCTCTCTGTTATTTCAAACATGCAATTCAATGGCCAATCGCCAGGGTATATGCATATATATATATATATATATATATATATATATATATATATATATATATATATATATATATATGTATATATATGTATATATATATATATGTATGTATATATATATGCATATATATATATATATATATATATAAATATATCCCCGCGCCGGCTTACGCAGCCGTACTCGCGTCGTTCAAACAGGCGACTCCAACACTTGGCAGGTGTTGAAGTTCAAGTCTCAGGGGCGGTTGATTGTTTGACTCAACAGATACCAGCTGACGAAAAGCGGGAGGGTCTCCACGATTATAAGCCGTGACCGTGTCAAGGCATGGATGACGTTGCAAATGGTTGCACTCGGACAGTTGCAGGCAAAATTGTGTGCGAAGTGGTGGGCTAACACACCTATTTCTACAAGCCGTTCGGACTTCATGAAACAAGATTAGACTATTTTCTCATAAACGCTGCCACTTATTTCATGGCTCAACACAAGCAGCACTCAGAGCCAGCAATGAAAGGCAGCGATCTCGTCCAAAAACTGCCAGAGTGGGATCGAAACACCTCGTCGTTTTTCGCAGTTTTCTTGTTGACACAAGACCCCGAATCGTGACATCTGAACAAGTACATTGCACGCGCTGTGCGGCACTTGCAGCGCATGGTGCTGCACTGTTTGGCCCCCTGCTCAACCACGCATCTGGTAAAGTCCTGTCTCAGAAACCAAAGCTGTTCAAAAAATTACCCCCGCAACTTTCACGCCTATGTGATCGTCGTTGTTGCCAGCAGAGAGTGTCAACACACGCTCGAACGTGTCAGCATCCTCCTGATCAGTGTGGTTGCGGGTTGCTCCGGCTACATTTTCGAAGATTTCAGTGAAAAGTGGTCATTTGGGGCGTGCCATTTCTCTAGATAACGTGTTTCGATACTTGCCATACTGGAGCATTGCCATAGGGCTGTTTCCGGCAGTGTGCTTGCATACAGCATAGAAAAAGGATGCAACTTTGCTACATTCGATCAATAAACGATACTAATAGACAAGACGGTAGTAATAGACTTATTCTTCATAGAAAACTTAACCTTACTCTCGTATAAAGAGAAACTTGAGAGATGGATGCGCCGATATTTTGGCAACATAGCTTTATCGAAACAAATATCAGTAGTACCTTTACTACTGATATTCGTTTCGACAAAGGCATGTTGCCGAAATATGAATAAAAGTGACTTTACTACCGATATTCGTTTCGACAAAAGCACGTTGCCGAAATATCAACGCATTAATTTTTCCATTTCCTTGGGTTTTCCACAAGGAATGAGCTATTAATATTGCCTTATTTATACACACAATGTTCCTCGCAGATGCACTGAACAACTGACGCAATAAACGGTGCAGACCAAGTCCCAATGTTGCGCAGATGGGACGCCGCGGCGCAGGGATGGATGCATGCAATTTTGTTGCCCTCAAGCTTGCCTTTTGCAAGGCATTGGTGGTCAAGGAAGCAAAAAGTCCAATCCAAAGTCCAGGGGTGGACAAGCTGTCCGTCCAAAACTCAGGTTTTCAAAAATACCCAAAAATCAGGTTTTCTAAGATCTTTTTTAAACAAAATATGAATAAAACCCAACTGTTCATCGAGTCGCTGCATCCTCTCACTCGGATTGAATGAAAAGAAAGAAAACGATCGTAGGTAATTAATGTGTATCACAGACTTCCCGTGAAAACAACTACGACTCACAATTCACTTTGGATGGAATTCTGCCATGTATTCAGCTGCTATGGCGACGAGGTCGATCGTCGTTTTCGCGGTCAAAGGAGAGAAGCCAGCCGTAAATCGAGCTCAGTCATGAAGTCCCACAAGTTTTCGAGGTGAAAGGGGATTGTAAGACTAGTGTGCCTGAATTTTTAAGCGGCAGCAGCTGTTCATGTCACCAATCGAATGGCCGTATATAAGTGAGAGATTCCTTTGTATGCCTGTGATATTGAAATTTTGGTCACAAGAGGATTCCGATGATAGACTGGAAAGCCGGAGCCTGACTAAGGTTCTGGGTGTGGAGTTATTTGCCATGGTACAACGCTACCGAGCTAAACTGTTGGCGACACCTGTGGCGCGTGCCCATATGATCGACGACAGAAACCCACGCCACCACCCCTGACTGGCGGGTTGTTGAGATAATGGTCGTTAGAACTGGCGTCGGTCTCTGCATCAGCATGGAGTAGAGGTGCTCCATTATTGTGCACGTCGCGGTCTTACGAACGAGTTTTTTTTATTATTTCGAACATCTTAATGCAATGCTAACCACCTTTCATAATATGACGCTTAGACTCATTGAAAAAGCCGACATATATGATTAGGTATTTCGTTCGGAAAAGGGCTAAAAAAATCATCTAATATACACGAAAGTGGTCTGGGAATTCTGCAAACAAACCCGAATTACAGCTATCAGCGTTTTTGACCAGACGTGAGTGGAAAGGTTCGCTTAGAAAACTAGCAATGCCTCCCTGCCAGTCTTGGCCTGACTTCACAATCTTGCATTCACATTCAAGTGGTGCAGAGCAGACCGCTTGGGTCTGTGTGTCACACCCACTTCTCATCCGGCGGGCGTCTGTTAAATAAACAACCGGAACAGGCGTTCACCCATGAAAACCCATCAGTGTCGTTACTATCGACGAAGCGTCGTACCCCACTACAGTGTCACCCAAATTGTTGTTGAGCGACGGTGAGCTTCGAGACTTTGTGAGTGGGGGTTTGAGTCACACGCGGTCGGGTGGCTGGTTGAACATCCCCCGCTCGGGTGGGGGTTCAATTTGCCAACAGAGATCTAAAAAAAAACTAGGAAAGCTAGAGACACCAAATTTACAGGGTGCGTTGGTCGGTACTTCAACTGACTTGTGTTAATGTTTGAGGTTACTAGGCTATGACCTTCCGGTCAAACTTCATGAAATGAGGTCAATTCCAGATTGGTATCCTAAGTGCCGCCAGACCTTGTCATGAAATCACCGTGAACCCGGATATCCGTTTTAAGCAAAAGGTCACTGGTGCTTTTCAAGGTCACTTACCTTGCTTGACTTTTAGGAGGTCGTGGTGACCAAAATTATGCAACACTACTTTGATATTTGCATTCGAATAAGCCTCAAGGAATATGGAGGGCCGCATGTTCTTAAGATATAATGCCGACGTGAGTTATTTTAGGTAAATGGCCTATTCTGTCCCCCAAGAAGTCCATAAACGATGTTTAATACAGTTCCTGCAATCGGTAAATTCAAAATGAGTACCAGAAGCTAGCCCATGCAGCAGGCTCTAGAAACAGGTTGGTTTTGACCTTGGTCTGACCTTCATACTTGACGCTAGGTCATTTAATGTTATTTATTCAATTATTGTTGTGCCTAAGCAACCGTCTCAAAGACATATCGCTTCGTATAACACTTCGTTGTGAGGTCAGATTAAACAATTCCCAGAAATTGTTTTCGCTAAATCCATGGTATGGATTTGACCTGCCGTAGGTTAGCGACCTTGCAAAGTACGTATAAAATCTGATGCCAAAAGGTCAGCTATTCAACTGCTTCCAGCTATTCAAAATGTGAAAGGGCTATGCCGCGCCGTCCGGAAAAAAACCTCTGAGGTCAAATCGACCCCTGCCGCACCCGAGCGCGTGCTAAGCCAACCGCAGTGATTGCAATCCTTGATGGGAGGGACTTCAGGCCTGAGCGGAAAACATCGATTTTCCGATTTCGACGACTTGCATGCGTGGAACAAAGAGAAAACTAGGTGTATTGCTATCCTTGTTTAAAACCAATGCCCTACACATGTTTTTATGCAGTCCATGAACGAGTGCTCCTGAAGGTGTTGTAATCGTAATAGACATAGTTCAAATGGATGCAGATGTTGGGCCACATTTGCTCCGGGTCATAATCGTGCTTCACTCAGCCATGCCTCGCTGGTCGGGGTCGCGGTAGTGAGCAAAGCCACGCGCTCGGAGTCAGAATGCGTGGCCCTCTCAGCGGAACACGTACCACCCTGGTGAAGGTTTAATACCGGTCGTGCTTCTACCCAACCGCCGGAAGACTGGACGCGTCTGCCACTGGCTCCCTATGCTTTGACCATTCTCAATGCAAGAGAAGAAGGCACTTCGCTTTCTGACGGATTATGGTGGACTCTCAGTTAATGAGCCCGCTTTTTCTGCCGTGCGAGTCATTCAAAAACCTAATCCGTCCAGCTCAGATCCGGATCTACTCGCCAAGCAAAAAAGCAAACAAAGATGCTCAGCCTGCCGTGCGCCTCATTCTATTTTGTTATCAGTATTCACTTACGACATATATTTCGCTGCGATGCCTTGCAATACAGATTTTCGATGGCACCTACCGGATATGAAGTTGGGTAATGATCTTATCCGCCAAAATGTAGCATTCCGGCAACAGGACCATCGAATTTTGCGTTAACAACTACCTACTGCCTACCTCAGTACACATCTGCAGCTCCTAACGCTTGCTTCAGTCGGTCCCATTTGCACAACTGCCGCCCAGGTTAGTTCTAAGGAGTCAGCGCACACTCTAATACACTGTTGAGACTCAAAGCAAATAGAAGCTGTGCAGGCAGAATCCGGTTCACCTGCATAAACGCGCGCAAAACAAAGCGCACGCACTTAGCAAGCAGACATCGATTGCTACGCAAACTTACGTCTTTCTGCCGTTACAAGACTCTGTCCTCTCGACAATTCACCATCACCGCAAGGCGCCACCAGCCAGACGCCGTCCGTCACCGTCCCATTCCGTTCATACGGAGGCAGACGCCTCACGCGCGGACGCCTCCGTGCACGGTCACACCCTCGCAAGACTACACCCAATCGGAATAAGGTACACAGAGTCGCTACTGAAAGTCCTCGATGCGGATAAATAGCGGCTGGCTCCAGCCGGCCCTGTGCACGGCGCCAAACGCAAGCCACAAGCGCCGCTGCCCGCCCGGCCGTGCCGCGGCGCGTCGCTAGCACGCCCGCCTCGCAGATGGCGCTGTCGGTCTTGTCCCACATCCACAGATGACGCTGTCCGCGTCGTCCCGGACCCACAGACGGCGCTGCTCAGGTCTCCGGCGCGTCGGGGATCGTCTCGAAGTGCAGGATGGCGCGGCCGTGAATCTTGGCGCGGCCCAGCTTCATGAAGACGGACTCAGCTTCTTCTGACGGGAACAGGTTGTACGGCGGAGGCTCCACCTGGGCGGGACATGTCAGCGGATCAGCGCAGGCGGCCGGAGGACAACGCCATCGTACGGGGCCGCGGCGTGCTGAACACATCTTAGCAGCTGTCATACTGGCTTTTAAACACATCAATCTGCTCCAGCCGTGCACCAGAATATTTAACACTGCTGATCACCTTGCAGTCTGCGAAAACGCTGCAAACTGAGCTAGAATGACCAAACAGAAACGAGACTGTATCACCAGCGACGGGGAAGGCTTAGGACTTTTGAGCGGACAAGTAATGTACACCATCTTGGCAGAAAACATAAAAAACATGTGCTAGTTTCGCACTGAGCTACCTCATGACCGGCTAATGTCCTACTTTTTTGGTAGCGATGAGATCCAGAAGAGTGTGCAGCTGGTCCAGGGAGCCCATCTCGACGGGCACGATCGTCTGCTCGTTGGCCTGGGCCACGCTCTCGAAACGGCTGACGTAGCGCTGAGCCGTCTCCGCTCCAATCACGATCACGCCGCCCTGGGCACCACCGCACCCGTCACACAGGTGTGAAGCTAACTCGTGACAACAGATAGTGATGATCATTGGTGCTGACTTTTATATATATGCATATATATGCATATGTGTATACGAATTAGAATCAAAGCGCCTACCCAAACACAAAAGATAGGTAAACAGAGCAAATTGCTGCCGAAAAGGACGCGCCGACCCGGCCGACGGCCCTGTGAGACAAACACAGTCATCGATGGACCGGCCGCCGGTCGTCGCCGCCAAAGTGACTTACCTGCCGGCTGCTACTGTAAGAAACCGGTCGGTGGACGGGGACAAATGATTGGAAAGTAATAAGCATGGAGCCTTGGTCGTGCACACGCGTCGCGTTTGCGGGGTTGTGTGAAAGCCGGCCAAAAATTGGGATGTTCCGCGCCTTCATGAGTATGCGGACAATGTGGCGCTAGAATAACGACAGGGGATTGGTGCGCGCTGGGTATGGACATACTGTGACCCAGTCTCCTTGTCATGCGCATTTCTAATTTGGGGCCAGGTCATTTAAAATGAGCGTTCCGCGTTTGTATGGAGATTTGAGCTGAACGTTGATTCCATGACACCCTGCGGGATCTGAACCGGATCATTTGCATTTTTGCAGGTTGCGACAGGAGGGGTGGTCTGGCTATATGGTAACCAATCCACACATCTAAATAAAATGGTGGCAAATTTTACAAAATTATAACATCACAAAACCTGCCACCCACATCAGCAGCAGCTCGGCGCCATGCGCCGTCGCCGCCGGCGTTGCGACTTACCTTGGATAGACATTTGAGGGAACGGTTTAGCGACCGCGGGTTGGCGGCGAAGTCGATGACTAGGTCGACACGGCCCTCGCAGGCGTTGATGGTTCGCTCGATCAGCTGGCTCTCGTAACAGTCCTCGCTCCACTGGACGATGTTCAGCCTGGCCACAGAGGGGGCGCGCCAGGCCGTCAGCACGCGCTTACCAGCTCGGGGAGCCGGCAGGGGGCCGGCGCAAGAACAGCCCGCAAGGTGGCAGGTGAGTGGTTACTTACTGGCCCTCGGGACACTGGCCTCACCGTTGTGGCAGGGAATCATTGATTTACTTGACACTACTAGGAACAAATACAAATATCCCTTATTCGACTACCTCCTTCAATAAACATGATCCTTCATGTTACTAGACAACAGTGGGGACAAGCCAGAATGTGTATGAGCATGTTTTAAATCTTCATTTCGCCAACGCTATAAACAGATGGAGGGGACAAACACATTACGCTTTCTAAGCTAAAGCACAAAGGGCTTTCAGCGAACGGACGAACTGCATACGGATTATTTCAGTCTACAGAAACATTTTGAAACAATTAGTTCTACTAATCACGACACCTTTTGTTCTTGCTACAATGGAAGGTGTTAGTCCACATCAATCAAGCCCTCAATTGTCACGTAGCAAAGGATACTACAAGACTGCAGGATATCACAAGATATCACGACCGAAATACTGCTTGTGCATACGAGGCGCTGGTAATGTGCAGCGATGCTAATTGGTAGATTTGGCGCCGGGGGATAAGTGAGCGTATGAGCCCGGCCAATCGGCGCTGGTAATGTGCAGCGATGCTCATTGGTAGATTTGGCGCCGGGGGTAAGTGAGCGTATGAGCCCGGCCAACGGCGCTGGTAATGTGCAGCGATGCTCATTGGTAGATTTGGCGCCGGGGGTAAGTGAGCGTATGAGCCCGGCCAACGGCGCTGGTAATGTGCAGCGATGCTCATTGGTAGATTTGGCGCCGGGGGTAAGTGAGCGTATGAGCCCGGCCAACGGCGCTGGTAATGTGCAGCGATGCTCGTTGGTAGATTTGGCGCCGGGGGGTAAGTGAGCGCGTGAGCCCGGCCAGGAAGCTCTGGCCGCAGGGAGGTGTCGATGGCGGCACCCTGACACGATGTAACGCGAAGCCTGTGCTCCTGGGCACCAGCACCCCAGCCGAACCACGGCCAGATCATGACACTGCGGCAGGCCACCGACGGGCGATTGGGATAGGACAAGCCCGGTTCCGAATAGCGGTTCACCAAACATGTGTAGGGATGGACGGTCACACTTAAGATGACGGCGAGAGACGAATGCATGACGTGGGTCGCGCGTTTAAACAGTGGGATTGCCATCGCCGCGCAAGGGAGGAAGGGCGAGCGAAGCCAACTATCTATGCGCTGGTGTGTACACAAACCAATTCAAAAGTGGAATGGTACACTGGACGAGCCACTAGAGCCTTGTTTAGTTCTGAAGAGCATGGCAAACAACACCCAGGCTCGGGGATTTGTTATCGCACTGGACTTTGCACCGAGACCCCGACCCATCGCCGGCAGCTGTCGCTAGGTACTCGCCACGGATCAAATACTGGGGCACGTTTGAATTTGTTCGACTTTATCTCAAACAATATTGCTGGTCTTGCCCACGGGGACCTGGCACGGGGCGGATGCGTTACATTATTGCACGGTAAGCAAATACCACTCCGCTACTCCAGTTCGGCCGAAAACCACACATGACGAAACGTTCGAATGAACCGGAATGGCGCAGCCCGGGTTATGGTGCGGGATTAAATCCACGAGCCCTGCTCAGCAGGCACTCGAACCAAACAAGACAAGTCCTTGGAAACGAGTTTATAGAAAGGATATGCGTAGGCGCATTCAAACAAGGTGGTACACAAGAAGCTCGGCTAAAATTAGCTGGGTATGATAACCAGCTCAGGCAGTCCTGTAAAAACATTGCCGCCAATACAAGTACATGGGAGATGATATAAAACTGAGCAGCCAGCAGTGCTACGGACTCGCAAAGAGGACTCGTCACTAGCCGGCCAACGAGCCGAAACTGGCGTTCGCCTGCGCGACACTCAACAGCTATCGAAGAGAGCAGCAACTCTGCATCACCAGGTCATTTCGGTTTACATTAATGCAGGGTATGAATATATCGTAAAAGATAAGACTATTTTAGGCCACACCTGCGTTACACCTAGTGCAGATTTACCCCTAAACGAAATGCTAAATTACAAAAGCGGCATAACTGTCCCTTCTTTTCCATGGTGTGGTGGGCATAAAGTTAAGACCGATAAAGTGGATGTTAACGTACTTGCCATTTAAGGGTGCTCAGAAGAAATAACGTGTGGCTAACGCGCCCACTTTTCTCTAAGTCAGCAAAACAGCTTTTGACCCGCACATAGCTGGTGTCTTTCACTGGATGAAAACCGACATCAGCTGGTAACCGTTCAATCGATTCTTTTTCGATTAAAGTTGTTTAAACGTATTAAGGGGCGTCTAATATATAACGTACTTCGTCCGTTGCCTGCATGAACCATTTTCTGGCTTCAGAAACTCCCGCATAGCCCCCCCCCCCCTCAACTCGTACGGTGACCCTTGGGGAGACCCTCGCCCCCTGCAGACACGTTGAGGAGACTCCTTAGCCCCTCCCCAGTCCTGCATTCCGGCAAAGCCCATGGCTGCAAACCCAGCCAGCTATCGCCGCCGTTCCCAGTCCCCACGCACGCTCAGCACAGCAAAAACAACTCCCTCACACGCTGTGAGTCGTCCGGCTCCAGTGCGGGGTTAAAGGGGAACACCATTAGACTAGTGGTGGCGTCACACGGCATGTGAGATGAGTGCACGGGTTGCACAGAGGACAGCAGCGTACCGCCCGTGTAGCCCCGGCGATTCAAACTGCTCGCCGGCGCTGCGACAACCGAACACAGCATGAGTCACCTCTCCTCGACACGGCACGTCGCCGCGACATGAGGCGACGCGCGACAGAGACGGGCACAGCAAGGGTCACCTCTCCTCGACACGGCACGTCGCCGCGACATGAGGCGACGCGCGACAGAGACGGGCACAGCAAGGGTCACCTCTCTCCTCGACACGGCACGTCGCCGCGACATGAGGCGACGCGCGACAGAGACGGGCACAGCAAGTCACCTCTCCTCGACACGGCACGTCGCCGCGACATGAGGCGACGCGCGACAGAGACGGGCACAGCAAGGGTCACCTCTCCTCGACACGGCACGTCGCCGCGACATGAGGCGGATACCGCCCAATCTGTGCGATATCGACGGAATGAACAAGGTGATAGCGGGGATGCCTCAAATACTGTCCTTTGGGTCGTACCGCCAGCGTCGCCAGAGAAGTCACACGATATTTTTCCCAGTAGTAATAACGTTGCCGCGCGCAACAACAAACAACCAAACTGTGACCGAACGCTGCAGTGTTGCGCGTAATATTTAGGTGATGGTCAAGAAGTGCCCGCGAATGCATGCATGTCAAGAAGTGCCCGCGAATGCATGCATGTATGGTACTTGACACCGCCACCCTGGGCAGATGAGGCGAGAATGTCAGAGCAGACGTGTCGTGAAGGCCCACCTCATGGCATCTCCATAAAAGCACTTGGCGCGATGGTGACGCCATATCTGTGCGCCTAAAACACACCATCTGTCCAGAGTACTCGTCAAATATTGACCAAAAGCTTGGCACAGTGTTGCTAGCATGCTGCTGATATCCCTGAGCTCATCATAGTCATCACACCCAACGCAATATCAGGACCTTCATCCACGTATACACACGTGTCTGCCCGACACTGTCGAGCCACCTAAAGCGGGTGTCGCGCGGATCTGTCCCGTAGTGCCTACACTGGTACCGCCGCCATCCATGACTCGGCTCCGTGGCCCGGCCGCTGCTCACTTGTGCTCCTCCTGGTCGGTGATGTTCTGCAGGGCCTTCGTCGCGCAGCACAGCCACGGTCAGCCGCACCGACTGTCCCTCCGTCCACTCGGGGAAGAAGAAGCGGCCGATCCGGATGGCCCAGAGCGCCAGGCCGCCAGTGCCCACCACCAGCACGTTCACCTTCCCTGCCGACGACAGCACGCCGCCGGTCAGAGCCGCGGCTGGCCGAGCGGCGCCAGCCCATAGGACGTCACGTCACGCCACCGGTCAGAGGGCACGTGTCCCCACAGCGGGCTCTCCTGCCGCACGCCACCCACGATACAAAATAAATCAGACATGCCAACTGCACGGGAAGACAAACATTGCTGTCCCGTGGTACATTTCAAAGTGCTAATGCACACGTCATTGTTTCTGAATCTGGTCACATGACCTGATCTCACATCACGATCAAGAGGCAGGCACCTGTGATCGCTTTTAATTGGTGTCACCTGACAACGGGACCGAGACCAAGGGCGATGTCAGGACAAGATATACACCTTTGTCTGGTTTTATCGGTAGCACACACGTCCTCGCACATCGAGAGGCGGAAGGAGTCTTAGTCTTAAAAACGCCCCAGGCGATTAGTCTGGAATTTAGCTGATTAAAACAGAACAATGGTCCAGATGACTTGGCTTTAACTCGCATTTTTATCAAGGTGCAATCACAATAAATAGAGCTTTTATTCAAATCCATGTGAATACCATTAATTGATCCCATATGTAGTCCCTAGCGTCGCACTCATAAATGTCCCATCAATCAGTTGATAACTTATTCTTTGAACGGTTCGGTCGTTGTTGAAGCTGTCCAGACTAACTAACTCTGCGCATCGTTCCATTACCACTCTCTAATTCAGCCGCCCACCGCGCCACAGCGTCGGCTAGACCACCAGGCACTGCTTGTGAGCCGGGGAAGGGAGGGGCGGCTGCAGCTGGGCCGGCCGGGCCGCTGGCTGGCGCGGCGCGTGGGACGGACAGAGACAGCTATTTCAGGCACGCTCGCCATGGCACCAGACACAACCTGACCCGGCCCACTGCCGGGCCGACACTCCAGCATCCGCAGCCCCTAAGCCCAGTCGCTCTTTCTGTCCTGTCCTCTCCCAGCATCCCTTGTCATTAATTCATCTGTCAACTCTTTTCCAAGAATTCTCATTTTACTTACATCTAATCATTTACTTACATCTTATCATTTACTTACACCTTACATCATTTTACTTACATCAAACACCTCCAGAACTGGAGGCCGCAGACTGCTGCGCGTTCGACAATGCTGCACGACTACTCGAAGACGGACGACATTCTCAAAACAGATCAGATAAGATAGACTGTCCTTATCAGTGAGCGCCGAACTCTGGCAGTGAGTCCCGGCCCTGCTCGCTCCCACAGACATGAACGGATACACGGAAACGGACACGGACACGACACGGACACGGACATGTGTCGGAGGCGGCTGCCTGTGTGCGTGGCGCAAACGGCGAGCTGGATACTGTCACCGCGGCCGACCACGTCTCACTCTCACCAGACTCGCCCCGCTCTCACCAGAATCGCCCCGCTCTCACCAGAGTCGCCCCGCTCTCACCATAATCGCCCCGCTCTCACCAGAATCGCCCCGCTCTCACCAGAATCGCCCCGCTCTCACCAGACTCGCCCCGCTCTCACCAGAATCGCCCCGCTCCCACCAGACTCGCCCCGCTCTCACCAGAGTCGCCCCGCTCTCACCAGAGTCGCCCCGCTCTCACCAGAGTCGCCCCGCTCGGCCAGCTGCTCTCGACGTACTGGCGGGCGGTGAACACAGTGTTCATCGCCCACAGGCCGCCACTGGGCAGCATCGAGGCCACCGGCATCGACACCGAGCCGGGCACCTTCACCAGGTACTTGACGTCCTCCACGGGCACGTACTCGGCGTACCTGCGGGGCGCCATACCGACGAACCTGGTCAAATCATCGGCCCGCCAGCGGCGCCCGGCATGTGGCCCGGTTCGGAACACGTGTCGGCCGCGACCAGGGCATTATCGACAACGAGCATCGATCGAGGATCGGTGACCAGGAGCAAACAACCACTTTGCTCTCGGCGAGCGGAAAGTCATGTCATGTCGGTAACTTGCATTGCTACACTACGAAAGCTACATTCCATCACAAACCGCCAAGAGATGGACGGTTTGACGACTCACCCGTCCGGGCATCCCACGTAGGGATACACGATGACATTGTCGCCGATCTTCAGACCACAGTTCGGGTCCACATTCTCGCCGAAGCTCTCAATCTGTCCGGCCACTTCAAACCTGAAGGGCAGAATCGGCCATTACGACACAGCAATCACGTCCTGTCTACAAGGCATCCGAAACCCACGGCAGCAAACGTGTCTCAGCCGGCCGATCACAGCAAGAGTGCATACGGTCTATGCGTAGCCTACGCCAGCGCCACCCAGTGCCGCAGCGTGACAACTCTCCGGCAGCAACAAGGGCCCGACCCGTCCACGGTGTCGGCGGCCGCGCGTGATGGCCTACCGGGGAAGAGCGAGGTGTCACGGACGCCCTTGTTGCTGCAGCTGGAGCCGTCGGAGCCGATGGAGGCCAGCGAGGCGGCGCTGTTCACCGACATGGACCGCTTGGAGCGGTAGCACACGCCTGCGCACATCACCTGAAACGACGGCCGGCCGGTCACACTCGGGCGTCGCGCAAGGCGCGCCGGGTCGCTCTGCCGTTCGGACATCAGACCAGTCACGCTGAAACCCCGCAGTCGTTACGCTGCTTGGTCACGTGACCCACGAAAGCAGGTGAAACATACGCTTTGAATTCACGGCGGAATGCGCGCGCCGGTTCTTAAAACACGGTTGTTACCTGGCAATGGCAAAGATTAGCCTAATCGGCATATTCTTCTTAAGCAGCACTCGACTTAGGTACAGAAGTGCAAAAGTCTGAGCTATCGTCTCTAAAAACCAGGAACGGTCTGTCTCATTTTCAGGGATTGTGGGGCGACACTCAATAGTGCATTGGTCGGAGTAGGGGCAGGGCAGCTTCTACAGCTGTTGTTTACCTTACATCATTACTAGGGGTTCGCTTTTTGGTGGGTAAGTAGGCTTGACGTAGAAAATGGTTGATGTACGCAAAGTACATTGTTAAAATCATTCGCTGCGATTCAAAGTGGCGCTATTCACCTGCTAGTACTGTCATATGCAAAGTTTAAAAAATACATGAGTAGCCTTCAACTTATTTCAATGCCTTTATATTTCGGTCACCTGGTTCCGAGACGCAAAAGTTGCAACCAATGAAAGGTCCACAATGTATCCGCTTCCTTTAAAGACCTCGGAAAGCGGAAGAAACTTAAGGTGGTGAACTCTTGACGGGAACTGACCACGTTCTCTTAAAACTGACCACTTCATTCCCTTTACGACTTTGAATTAGTAATATAACCTAGGCAGGGGTTTGCGCACGTCGTGGTCTGCGTGTTTCCCCACCCCTTTTCGTGTCGACTTACCCCTTAATAATGGCGTTAACCACCTCAGACGTAACAGATGTACTAAGCTTGGAGCTACGACGGTAGCTATCACTCTAGTGTCATGCCCTACAGTTGTTTGAGAGGAGCAGTGTTGTGCGCGTGTTGTTAACCTTGTGACACACGAGACCATGCATAACATAGGGGCAAACAGGTAATCTCACTTTAAGCAGCCAATAGCCCAGCGGGCGGTTTCCCATGAATAAAAAATGCTTCGTTGTTCCGCACGTGTAACTTCCGTATGATCTCTCTCGCCCTCGCCAGTGTGGCCAGTGCCTTCCAGCTATTGATCACGCCGGGACGTCTACCCGTCCTAGCCTCCCCCTTGGGCTCACTCTGGCGAGACTCGGCAATCCCCAGCTCCCTTAGCGGCGTCCGACTCACCGTGACGGGACCCGGCTATCACCAGGCGTCCCTCAGCAGCGTGCGACTCACCCTGACGGGACTCTGCTATCACTAGGCGTCCTCAGCAGCGTGCGTCTCACCATGACGGACTCCCTATCCCCCGGCGCCCCTCAGCAGCGTGCGACTCACCTTGACACGGGCTCCGGCCGGCGGCACCTCCGGCATCGGCACGTCAAAGTTGAACACGCACCCCTTCATGGTGGGGCCGGGCGACTCGATGCTGACCTGATGCAGCGGCATGCCCCGCTTCTTCCTGGAACTGAGCCGGGCAGCACGTCATGGGTGCGGTCGCGGCTGACTCGTGACAGGTCAGGTCACCTCGGTGGAGGGCGTCACGCCGGAGGCAGGAGCTCAGGCGAGGCCACAGGTTCATCAGCGCTACTTTTGGAAGGACCTCTGGAGCATCGCTCATCCGAAATAGAGTTCGGTGAAGCGAGAATCTCATATGACTGGTGACGACAGCTGACTGCGGTATCCAGAGGCGCCAGACGAGCCGAGCTCGTGTCCAGTGAGATGTTCTGAAGGCGACACCGCTGAGATCAGGGATGCACGTCAGCTCTTCCATCAGCAGACGATGATCTCGGACACGAGCTGGTGCTTTGAGTCTTGAAGATGGAGATGTTTGCTAACGAGACACCCTCATGACGGGGCATACCGGGGCCGAGCCGCGTTCGCAGTGTCCAATGATGCGACGGATTCTAGAATGCATCGCATTTTTTGCTGGGGCCAGCAAGGGTACAGATACGTTTACGAAACAATCGCACTTTTGGTGTCGTTCAAAGCACCGCCGCACTGGTAGTACTACCCACGTTTGCCTGAAGTTCGTCGGTCGTTTATAACGTCATTTGTCTGAAGTTTGTCGGTACTTGTAAGGTCGTCTTGGTAGGACGGCCGGAGCGGCCTTGACATGACAAGTCAACCGGAGGCCAGATATGCAGTTCAAACGAACGTGACCTCAGTGTGAGCGGGGTTAGCCTGGAGGGGGCTACACTTCATGACTGGGCCTAAGTTGAAGCCAGCATGTGTTTTCTTCCATTTCATCAGAAGAGCACCCCGCGAGATCATAAATACAGATATTTTCCCATGTGAACCTTTACTGTTTCACCCATAGGTACACATATCTAAAACGCAAGAGAAATTGCGTGTTCGGATTAAATTTATTTGCTTGTTCTAAGGATAGCCTAGATACCGGTGCACAGGCAACCAATCCCTGAAACGGGTCGCGCAAGCGCGCAGGGATCAGGGGTAGGAGCCAGCTGCCTCACCAGCAAACTGGTGGTGCATTGTAGCGACGTATGCACAACATTATTGGAATCATCCACATGTGACGCAAGTGGAGAAAGTGTACGAGATCTTTCCCAAAAGTTTCCGCTCTAACCAACGGCATCCAAGAAGCAGCATTTCAGGGTCGACGTAACAATGCGCTTCCCTCTGTCCCGAGTACTTCACAGACCGACATCCTGTATGGCTGGACCCTTGCCGCCACGTTTAGCCCATGGCTAGAACACAGCTATTTGGGTCAGCCGGTCGGCGCGGCCCCCCTTTGCCCCACTTGCCACTTTCGGCGTAGTCCATGGCGCGCTGTTTTGGCGCCGTCGCGGCCCGGGCGCGGCCGGTGTTCAGGGGTTCGGGCGCCCCCGAACTCCGGCTGACAGCAGCTGGCGCGCGCCAGCTCGCGTCAGGCGACGGGCCGGGCGGGGCGGGGCGAAGCATACAGCTGACGGGCCGGGGCAGGCCGGGCCGAGGTGTACAGACGACAGGCCGGGGCAGGCCGGGCTAAGGTGCACAGCTGACGGGCCGGGGCAGGCCGGGCCGAGGTGTACAGACGACAGGCCGGGCAGGCCGGGCTAAGGTGCCAGCTGACGGGCCGGGCAGGCCGGGCCGAGGTGTACAGACGACAGCCGGGCCAGGCCGGGCTAAGGTACAGCTGACCAGCCGGGGCAGGCCGGGCCGAGGTGCACAGACGACAGGCGGGGCCAGGCCGGGCTAAGGTGCACAGCTGACCGGCCGGGGCAGGCCGGATCGGGGTGTACAGCCGGCGGGTCGGGCAGGTCGCATCAAGGTGTACAGCTGACGTGCCGAGGCAGGCCGGGCTGGGGTGTACAGCCGGCGGATCGGGGCAGGCCGGACCGGGTGTACCGTTGACGGACCGGGGCAGGCCGGGCCGAGGTGTACAGCTGACAGGCCGAGCCGGGCGAAATGTACAGCTGATGGCCCGGGTGTGTGGTGTAATCACATAATAATTGTCCCATCGATTAACACCCCCCAAAAAACACACATTTTTGCAACCCAGCATTGTGCTCTAGACCATCTACAGTAATGATTTAACTTGGGTCATCGATAACTTCAAGCAGCCTCATGGGGTATGACGACCACTTACTTCGTCAATAAGTTTAGCCAGGCAACTCCATGGGTACCAAGCGAGCCCTTAGCAAAACGCTGCTGCTGCAAGGTTAAGTGGACGCCTGGGTGGGCACGGAATACAGGCCAGACGCACCTATACAGTTACAAACACACCAATCTCGCCGTGGAATACGCTGAGTTTGGATCGACCTATCACACGTCTGGTAACGCTCCAAGGCTCTACAGCAGCCGGTGGTGGCTCACCGCACGCGCAGCAGCGGTACCGACGGTGTTCGGTGTCACACTGGCTGGGAAGGCGGCGGGTCCGGACGGCCGACGCACACTGTACACCCCACCCACAGGCCGTCCGCCGTCTGAGTAGCGCACACGCCTCGATCAGGCTCTGAACATGTGATCCCAGGTATTGATTGCCGCCGACGCGCCGGCGCAGACGGCCGGCCGGGCCGGGCCCCACCCTCTGCCGGCTCGGCGGCCAGTCCGACCGTCCGGCCGCCCGGCCGGACAAAGGGTCGCACCGGCGCCCTCCCCCCCCCCCCCCCCACCTCTCATCCAGTGCCGGCTGCCCGCCGCCAGCCGCCCATCGCTCCGGATGACGCAGATGGGTGATGTGCACTGAAACTTGGGTATGTGAGGTGCGCAAATACTGTAGAAAACCGGATTCTGCGGACTTCGTGGGGCATGTAGGGAGTTCACGAAGAAATCAGCATTAGAAGTGATAACGTACAAATGCGACGCACACTTCACGAATGTCCCTTTGGAAAGTCTTACCTGTCCTCAAGGTCTTCTTTTTCGGGCATGTCATCATTGGAGGTCATCGTAAGAAACTTATAAAACTAATGTAAGCGATGGGAAATCGGATTCCAGGCCCATTCAAACAACTTCAAAACTCCCGTGCTGTTCAATGAGCACTACGTTTAAAAGCAGTTTGTGGATATCTCGGGTTATGTAACAGGCTTTTGAGGCTTGTTGGCTTAACAAAAGACTTGACCACGCCACGGGCCACGGTTGGTCACGATCAGTCGACAGCGGCTTAACGATAGCGATACAGCCAATATTGCTCGTGCTGCACAATATCGGCACACTCTCATTTTGAAGAGGCACCTAGCCAATCTTCTTACTTATAATGGGCAGTGCATGGGTGGCTTACCTCGCATGGCGATACCTGTAGACAAAACAAAAGAAATATTGGAAAAATTTCGCGTGTTTAAGTGCACGACAAATCAGCCAATGCTTGGCGAGGGTTGCACTGGGCGAGCCATGACCCACTGGATAAGCACACACTTCTCCCAGCCATTCGCTTTAAACGCTTCCGTTTGCTTCACAGTTTGGCCCCTGGCATGTGCCCTCCATTTCCATTGAGAATGGACTGGGTCAATTAAATGACTTCCCTCTCGAACCTGAACAACGAGACCCAAGTAACCTAAGCCATGCGGATTCTCAGCTCATTTCGTGGGGTTAATTATGTTAACGTGTTCGGAAGTATTCGACACAGCAAATGCATTGGGGCAAAGAACCCAATTACGGAACTGAACTATTAGCATCTCGCTCTTACGTGAAGGCTCGATGTGCGAGTGGAAACAACCGCTCCCGATTTTTGGATATGATCGCAATTCACGGCTATTTCTGACATCGGTGCACGTGATGCACAGCAGTGCGTGTACGCCACCGCCACAGCCGCCCAGCCGAGAGCACACACAGCAGCACCTCGGCGCTCGCTGAGAGGACCACGCAACGGCCGTCGCTGGCGCACAGACCGCCGGAAGCTGTGCAGGAGACCAGCGCTGGCCGATGGTTCAGCACGGTCTGGCGCGCTCTCGGCGCTTGGGTGGTGCGGATGCCCAGCGCCCTGGCGCCCACCGGCGCCCCCTCCGATGCCAGTATGGCATGACATGTCACTTGGTGGCACTCCAAGACGTCTTTGGTGGCACGCCATGGAAGTCAGGTGGGGCTGCATGTCAGTAGTAAAGCCGTCTGGCCACCGTATTTGCGTAGCAGGGTGACGGCACGAATAGTACACGACAGCTCTCCATGCATTCGGATGCATGACAAAGTGTACAAGAATAGCTCCAACAGTACTCCGACTTATTTGCAGCTGAAATAAACGCAAAATACTGCATTCCATATCAAAAACGAAACCCGCCACTCCCTTAAACATACCACCTCCAGGGCGATGTGTTACCACTGTGCAATCGTGGGCAGATGTCCACGCGTTATCTGCACCACCTGCAGGCTATAGCACCGCCGAGTACCGCTCAGTCAACACACGCGGCCGGACTTGGCCCGTTGCTGGGAAGCGAGCCGTGGGTCAGCTTGGTTTAGCTTTCTGTCACCTGGACGATGTCTAGAAAACACCAGCACTTCACAAAACCATGATCACCTTCCACATGTCGCCCGATGTCAGGACCAACTAACGGATGCACGAAGAGTACCGAACTAGAAGAGGTTTGGAGATTTGTCGGCAGTGGCGAGGTAATTATCTTCTGATGCGGGACATGGCCGCTGAGTGGAGCTCTGTGCTCGCCCACCGTCGCGAGGAGTGGCCAGCGACGTCTCGCGGAGCCAGCGCCGGGTGTTGTTGCCAGGCGGGAGGTGGAGGGGGGGGGGGGGGGGGCGCCAATTGCAGGACTGCACAGCTGTCCCGATGCCCGCCGCGCGGCTCAGGGTCAGGCGGGCATTAGCCTGCACTGCCGCTGACTGCCCGGATGGGGGGGGGGGGGGGAGCTCAGGCACGCCCATATGCCAGACCGCAGTCAACGGCTGCATGTAGCCGTGGACGCCCTGCGACCAGCGCAAGACCGGGGCTGGGATGGTCAGACTCGAGCGGTCCGGAGAGGAGAAGGACGATGCTCTCGCCGCTCCTTCGCTCGACAGCTCCTCCGGCGTCGGCTGGTTCGCGAGCTAAGCGATGATGCTGTCCGTCAAAATTCAGCGAAAGGCAAGGCTGTCAGGCATCTGACGCTGCCATAGGTCTAGGCCTAAAAGGACGAAAAATTACAGCCCACAATTACAAGTGATGCTTTTAAACTCTAGACACGTTCTTATTGATTGACGCCTTTTGGGGGGTTGGAGCGTCAAAACATCAATGTATAACCACTGTCGGGGGTATCGACAATGAAGCATGCGAGTAACCGAAATCCGGTGTTTGGTGACCCTTGCTTTGGTGCATGCTTGCGCATTGGCAACATTTTGCTGTGCATGCCCAATAAGCAATAATACCCGTTATGACTGCTGCAAACGTTGATGGGTCCGTTCACCCGCCATACCTATCACAGGATGGGGCGAAAATGAGCAGCTCGTATAACCTGGAACGGTTCCTGTGGCGAAGTCTCGCGTCAGCGAACCAGGAGCGTGGCTTCTAAATGAGACGACGACGATGGCATACAGTGAAGGCAAAGGTTTCCAGGCCCATGTTGGTCGACATTTCTAGGTGCCGGATTTCGACCACCATTTTTCAAGGGACGGGTTTTTGTCGCACAATTTGGGCAGAAATAATTTCGGACGATTCAAACATTGTCTGCCTAAAAAAGAAAAATGGGACAATAGTTCTGAAATGGGATTTTCCTCGCAAAAAAAAGATGGAGAACACAAATAACCACAGAATGGAGATCTTACTTTCCAATCTTCTCCGTTGGAAACCCCACGTTGCCGCATACCGTCGGCGGCCACCGTCATGTCCCGAACGGAGCCCGTTAATGACGGCCGCCACCCCATGAATGACAGTGAAATAACCGTTCGACTGCTTTGCCGCATCCCTGTGGGTGGATACCAGTACTCATCGGTAAAACCTGCTCCAGCAAACATATTACCGAACTTTCCACCCAGACGCCGCAGCACGCTTAAACTTCGAGAGGCTGCCTTCCCGAGGCATGATCGGTGCACCAGACATTCACTTCCCTTCCTCAACGTAAGCGACTTGGTCGATCTTGATATGTCGGAAAAGGTTCAGAATGTGTAAATTGTTATTCAGTTGGGAGGGGGGATCCCACTCCCCACAACTTTGAGAGGAAAGTGGGTCAAATCCAGGGTGACCAAGTTCAACTTGAGATGCGACCAAAGTGGTGATCACAATCATGGGTTGAAAAAGCTGATTTACTGGATATGCTCAGAGACAAAAACACTTTTGCGAACCAGTTGGTGATAAACTACACGCAACTACACGCCTCTAGGCTCGTTATGTTAAGAATGCGTTTAGCTGATAATTTTTATGAGTTCAGCCTCGACCATCACTCAGTTCTTAATGGCCAGCACATGATACTCAAGTACAAATGAGATCCTGAACCAAAAATGCCGGTGGCTATGCCGCATTCCATTACATTTGCCTTTGCTTTGTGACTCATTGCATTTAGAATCATATTGCAGCGGTTTCTGTGGCTCCAGGCAACAATTTAGACAGTTTAAATTTCGTCAGCGACAGAAAAGGCACTTTTTCACCCCCGACCACTGCTTACCACGAAGAACAAATCAACAACAGCGCCGACTCAGACTCTCGCAAGTGCTCGTTGTACGTTTACAGGTGCGCATGCAGCCGCGGTTACTGCGCCCCTCCATGGCTGGGGTATGGCCGGCGTGGCGCAGTTTGCCGTGCGGGAGCGGCGCCGCTGGGGCAGCGTCGCGGCGCGTTGTTTGTCCCGTGACGTCGGTGCCCGGTGTCGCGCCTGGCGCCTGTGCAACCCGGGCCAACGGGTACGGGAGTATGCAGCGCCGGCCGGGCGCGGGCCGGGCCGCGCCGCCGCTGGCCGGGCCTGCCGAAGGTCGGGCAGGACAGGGAGCGACGCAGCTGGCTGCTGCCGCGCGGCCAGCGCGCGGGCCTCGCCGGGCCCATCGCGCCACCGCACACTGCGGTACGCACCGCTGCAACAAACACGTCAAATGTCCTGTTTTGCACCTACGCATGAGCTGCGATGGAAGATAGCGGTAGGCGCCAGGAGCCCATGCCCCGCTCACTTGATGGAAGTTAACCCGAATCGTACGGTGACATTCGGGAGTTAACTGCTTCAGATGAAGTTCTCTCCAACTTCTAATTGCTGGCGTTCCTGTGCCACTCCGAGATATCTTAAGGCTGTAACTGACTCCACAGATGACGATCCCGATAGGCATTGCGAACTGCAGGTCTCAATCGCTCTACCAGCCAATCGTTATCTTTTATAGCTGTGTTACGTCCTGCCCTGAGAAACGAATTATGTTAACTTGTCTTTGGGATTAAATCAGGTCATTCAGTCATCATAATTACGGACGATTCTGCTTCAGCGCAGGGACTTTGTCTTAACTGACCCACAATATCACCACGTCAACACTGGTATGCGCTACACACCCTGCGCGGTTATTCCCTCAGTGGCAAACGAAGTATTGCCTAGTGGAGCGTGGGTTCTCAGTTGCCAACGGCGGCCTGGCGGATTATGTCGGTGCAGGCTATGCGTCAGGGCGTGGTTACAGAGCGTGAGCAGCACGCCGAGAAGCGCTGTCGCGGGGTGAGGGCGAGGGAGGCGACGGCCGATACCCGCTGTTGACCATCCACTTGGCCACGGGGTCCGCTCGACCGGGTCAGCTCGACCAAGGCCTCTCAGATAGCCGAGTGACAGTCACCGGTCGTCGATTTTGTCTCGTGGGCACGAGAAACGCCGGTGCCCCCTGCGCCGCCCTGGCAGCTGGCAAGTACTGCCCGACGCCAGCTGCACTGTCCAGGGTACATGCTTCCACCAGCCGAACACCAAACGTGCAGACCGCCCGGTCATACCGGCCACGTAACCGGCGCCCATGTCCTACATCACAGCGGGCAATGGGGTATTGGGGAAGGACCCGGATCATGGTCCGAGGTCCGAAGAGAAGACGGTACACCCGGGGCACTGGAGCAACTTACGTC